GCTTATGTGGGGGGGAAAACAACAACACCATGGTTGTTATTCCCCTTTAGGCTGTTTACTTCCTCTCTGGGTTGCAGGGGAGGGGGTGGTGTTGCATGAAGGGTATGTGTGGAAAACAGAGCAGAGGGATTCCTTCATTTTATCATGGCTCCAACACGCCATCCTCTTGCCACATCAGCTCCAAACGTCTAGGATGTCAAAGAAAACATTTCAGATGTAACACCTGATGAGCCCTATAGGTCTGCTCTTATGACATCCAGCCTCAGTCCCTGTTCCTCTTTTATTTATTATTATTATTATTATGGTTTTAAATACTCCTCTCTTCAATGTTTATCCTCTTAAGATGGCTGAACGCTTAATGTCTTGGTGGAGTAGTGAACCTGCGTGCAGGACTAATATAAGATAATGAGGGTGACTGCCTTTTTACTTCGCCCGGGGTGGATGAATCATAGCTGATTCACACTGGGTTCATACATGACTCATACACTTGTGTGTAGTGCTGAGTGGTCCCCTGCTTGGACAGAGGAGCAGCTGAAAGGTGATGGTTTATTTATGTTTGGAATGAGAAGATTTGTAACTTAAATTATAATAATAATAATTATAATTATTATTATTATTATTAACAGTGTTGATATGCTGTCAAAACCTATCTGGTGTTAAATAAGTTCATTTGATCATCCTCTGCATCCAGCTGAGTGTCTCTCCTGCTGTTTTTCTTTCCTTTTTGTGGCCTTGAGTGTTTCCTCTCTGTTTCTGCCATTATGACTAACTGTAGACAAAACTGCAATAATTAAAAATTAAAGAAAACATATATTTCTTCAATCAGGCTGAGTGTTTTGACATATAAATTCAATATCATTCTCACATACTGATTTATGATTCAAACCGTTTCCTGTTTTTCACATCGACTTCTCATTATCGTCACGTCAGAGGGTGAGGATGATCCATTTGGAAAAGTCATGTTAAAAACTGAACACTTGATTTGATTGTTTCAAACACGTTTGAATACATTCATTTGCAATCATGTTTTGAAGAATATTGCGTTTTTTTTACACGCTTTGACGTTTTAAAGTTTGAGAACAATTTCAATATTTGCAACAACCTACAGCAGCAGATTGCCACACCAGTCTAAAGTGCAAATAAAATGTAGTTAAATTGGAAAAATAACATGCTGTGAATGAGCGAAGGAAGAAAATCCAACATTATGTTTGCTCATGAAAATATCATTTGAGGCTTTGTGTTATGGTTTAGTCTCAACTTGCAGATATCAGTAATTTTCTGACTGAACGAACGCCGCTTTCAAGTTGTTATGCTGCTTTTATATTACATTTGGTAACATCCAGAATTTAATATTGCAAAAATGTTTTAATGTTTAAATTTGCTTTAGAAGCTTTTGATGGGATTTTTATGTTCTTTTCTCAGAGCAGTGGCACTTCAACCATTTTTAAGGGTGTTTTCTTTAATATTGTATGAAAGTTAATTCAATTCAATTCAATTTAATTCAGATTTATTGTCACATCACATAGCACAACTGTACAGGTGAGTGAAAAACTGGAGTGCAAATTCCTACCTCTATGTAGATCACAATATAAAAACATACTAAAAACATAAAAGGAAACGTTAAAAAATAAATAAAAGAACTTGGTCTATATAAAAAATACAATAGACTTACACTATACACAATAACTAGTATTATAAACACACAGTATTACCAAGCAATGTACAGATACATTTATAACTATGCATTTATGTTATAATTTATTTGTGCATCACGAGCTGATAGTGTGGTGGGATGGACAGCACATTGTTCTACTGACTGTTCAACATTCTAATCACCTGAGGAAAGAAATATGGAACCGACTGGTCCTGGTCCTCATGCTTCTGTATCTCCTTCCATTCGGCATTGGTGAGAACAGCCGTTGACTTGGATGGGAGAGGATCTTGAGGGACCTTCTTAGGCAGCGGTTGGTGTATAGGTCCTGAAGGTTTGGCAGCTGCACTGATGTCCTGCGCTGTGCGTGCTACCCTCTGAAGGGATTTCCGCTCCCGAGCAGTACAGTTCCCATACCAGGTGGTAATGCTCACTGTCAAGATACTTTCCACAGTGCAAGTGTAGAAGGTAGAAGTCTTTTGTTTTGAGAATTAGTTTCCCCACAGAAAATTACACATTCTGCTTAACTTTTGTTGCCTTTATCATGTGGCCAAATTCAACTTCAAACAGTTCCGTAACATTTTTTTTAATCCTAAGAAATGTTCAGAAACTTGCTCTCCCATGCCACAGTACCTTTTCTGTGACTCAGATCTTCTTTAAATAAAACATTGTTTAAACTTGCACTTGATTTGAATTCAATAAAAAAAAAAATCAAAACTCCTTTCAGATAAAATCTGATCCCAGAAGTCAATACACTTTACATTGCAGACAATATGTGTAATATTAACTCATTGTCCTAAAAGAAATAAATATGATTTATTTCTTTAAAATGTGAATAAAAAAATCTTTACCAACATAATGAATGAAGGCTGAACTATATGGGATTTTCTTTCCAATCTATAGAAATTTGGGAAGCCAATAGTTGGTATACAACATAACGCTTTTTTCCCCATCTTTGCTCACTTTGTATTTTTTAACAGTTTTTAACAAATCGTTACACCAGTTAGGGCGGCACGGTGGCTCAGTTAGAGCTGACGCATCTCAGCAAGAAGGTCACCGGTTCAAATCCCGGTCCGGGTACCTTTCTGGGTAGAGTTTGCATGTTCTCCCCGTGCATGCGTGGGTTCTCTCCGGGTACTCCGGCTTCCTCCCACAGACCAAAAACATGACTGTTAGGTTAATTGATAACTCTAAATTGCCCCTAGGTGTGAGTGAGAGAGTGAATGGTTGTTTGTCTTGTTTGTCTCTATATGTGGCCCTGTGATGGACTTGCGACCTGTCCAGGGTGTACCCCACCCCTCGCACTGTGACTGCTGGATATGGGCACCAGTGACCCACGCAACCCTGAAAAGGAAGAAGCGTGCACAGAAAATGGATGGATGGATGGATTACACCAGTTGCCTAACTTACTGTAAATAAGCATGTATTTAACAACCTTTAAAATAACTTAAAATCAATATGTAGAAGAGCATTCTCACCTATACAAACTAAAATGTGGATTACAGTAAGCTGACTGTAGCAGCTGCTGCTAAATCTTCAAAACCAGTCTGCCAATCACATCATCTTTCTTTAATGACTTGTGAGAATATTCATATAGAAAAAAAATAGTAAAATACTATTATATTAAAAATATACACAAAATTCTTCAACACATTTCAGTTACAGATTTTTTGTTTTAAAGCATTAACAAAACAAAATCTTTTAAAGTATAATCTCAGTCCGGGCTTTAAAAAGTACAGCACATTTAATACATTTTCAAACAGCTTTCATTCACAGCCAATTTATGCCCTGTTTACTGTTTCTGCTGATTGTCCATCTCCTGTCATGTTGTTACGCTCATTTACTCTCCAGCACAGGAAATGGCAACAAACCATGTGTCTTCCTTCATACTCGTCCCAATCTCAGTAAGAAAAGGATGAAAAGAAGCCATGCAGATATAATTAGGTATCCATCTTGTGTCTGCTGGTGGGTATCTGGTTGTGTCTCATTTCTTACAGACGAGGAGAGACGGTGAAAATGAAAGTTGCGAGTTTGCCTTGTTTGTGTTGCCTTTTTTAAATTTTTTATTTATTTTATTTTTTTGCGGACGGCAGAGTCATCCTGTTGGTGACTTTGGAAGGTTTGACACTTGGCTGCAGAGGGAAAAGGCTTGTTAGGAGCATTAAGACGAGGAAACCAGATCCGTGTTCAGCTGACTGGTACAGCCAGATACGTTGGCAAGTGTCAGACACAGGATGCGTAGTTAGTGTGGAGCTGTGGTCGGCTTTCGGTGGCGTTACTGGGAACCAGAAATCACAGGCGAGGCGAGGAAATGACATGAGGCAAAACGATGGGTGTGAGGATGACAAAAGGTTTTAGTGTCCGCTTGTGCTCGGTCAGTGACATCATTATAATGACACTCCTCTCTGTCAGGATTATAGGCGCGTGGTCAAACAACCATACAAGGGAAAAAAGGATAGGTTGTTGCAAAAAATAAAACAGATAAACCAGTTTTTATTTAGAAATCAAGCAGTTTTAAGCATTAAGTTGAATCTTGTTCTGTTGTTTTTTAATGGGCACATTTATGGCATCATTTAGCAGCTAGTTTTCGAACACTCACGCTGCGTTCTAAAACCACATATATTAGCCACACTTGTAACCTGATACACTCCTATTCCCCTGCAGGCAGCCGTCCTCAGGTTGCCAGGGTGAGCTTCAATATTTCAATCTGTAATGTGCGACTGAAGACTTGGCACATTTTAAATTAGGAGTTTCCAGCTCGGGGGAAAGCCTCACTTAAGACAATTGTGATACATATTGATGAATGAAAGAAATGTTAGTGCAAGCACTCTGCTTTATTGAGGAGAGCCATGTTGGAAGGTTGGTGACAATCTGTTTTTTTCAAATGTTGCCAAATTCAACAAAAGAAGGCAGTTTTTTAAAAAAAAGATTTACTTAAAATAATTTTTAAACCCAATAACATAAACAAAATTGTTGGTACTCCTCAATTAAGCCCACAATAGTCACGGAAATAACTTC